AAATTCAGGATTAGTGAGAACAAATTGACTTTGAGAAATTAAAAAAAGTGGGTATAGCCGTAAAGAATAATGATGGCTTAGTTTGATATTATAAGTTCCTTCTTTCTATCTCTTGGACATCTCCCTTTCATCCTCAACATTTATTAAATTTTCATAAATTAATAAGTTAAGGTGCATCAAAAGGAACCAGCTACTCAGAGAATCTTGTCATGAGTTCTTAGGTAATTTGAAGTACGATAACTAAATTTGTGAATTCATATCCTACACAGTTTTGAAAAATCATGGTGCATGGCAACTGCTCCTTTGACACGATTGCCTTCACCATTCAAATCATTATCTGTATTAGTCATATAGCACTTGAAAGTGAGGCAGGCAGGGCTTTCTCAGGTTGCCTAAGGCTATGGCTTCCCTTTCGCACTTCCTTAAGTATCAGTCCCTATGTCCATCAACAGTCCTTACTTTGGAGTGAAGCCAATCTCAGGTTTCTGGGGACTTTACTTGATACTATAGTTCTAGTCCTGTCTTGTGCTGGACACTGGGATGCTGTTATGGTTTATCTGTGTGTCCCCCCAAAGCCTCATGTGGCCATGGGGCAGGCTTTTAGAGTTCATTGATTATGGGTGTGAGAACTACACCCACCCTGGGGTGGATAGTTTGCATATGTAAAGGAGAGCTAGAGGCTGCATTCTTTCCTTTTGTGCTTGTTGCTTTGGCTGTGTTCTGCTGCCAGGAGCTGCAGCCCTCTGCCATGTGCCACTCTGCCTTATAATCTGCCAAATATGGACTGAAACCTCCATAAACTGTAAGCAAAATAAACCTTTCCTTCCTTAATTTTGGGAGTCAGATATTTTGTCCCAGCAATGAGAGAAAAGTAACCAAGACAGATGCAAAGATGATTCAAGATGTGTTCCCTGCCATCTAGAGGATCACTCTGCAAAGGGGTGGAAAGGTAGGTAAGCATAGAATGCGCTGCATACTCTGGAGTGATATACAAAGGTTGTCAGTGTAGGTAGTATGGACTGAGGGCTCATAAAAAG